GCGGTGAGCAGGGCCAGCAATTTAGAGTTTCAGAAAACAAACATGGTAGTTAAGGCCATGGTATGATGTGCACACCCTACTGCCAACCAGCCTTTCTCTATTAGCCGCACCATTGGAGCCAAAACAGCATCAGAGTGGAATCATGCTTTTTTTGCCGACTTCATTTGTCAAATGGATAATTATGTCGAAAGTGAAGATGGATATTGAAAAAGGAAAGAAATGTTCAGACGTTCTTGATAGACATCAACAGAACACCGGCAGTTGCCATTGACCAACAGTTTCCATGATATCAGTGTGCGCATTTATGTGTGTACGTGTGTGCCGCACTTAGCCTCCTAGTCATTCCACATCAATCTCATTCTAATGAAAGGCGCCTTGCTCTTGTCAAGCCGTGGCTCCAACTGTTTTTTCTTTTAATTTGATTTGGGGATGGTTGGAATTTTTCTTGGCCCCTGGACTGGGTTGATAAAAATTCCACCTCAGCATAATTCAGCTCGATTGACGTGATTCATAGATACAATAACAGAGGCTAGTGTGTAGTTCAAACATATGGGAGAGAAGTGGGAGGAGTGGTAACAAAGGTGAGACGACCCCGCTATCAGAGCTGATCTGTGAGGGCACCACTGAAGCATGCTAACTGCTGATTAGACCATGTATCACCATGTCCTATTGCCTCAAAATAATGAAGACAAAGAAGACAGAATAAAGACCTAGACAGCAGAGACAGCATCATATTTTGGGATACTATCTCAGGTAGTGATAGGACACCATAACGGTAGCATGGCCAGGATGGCTGATTGGAGTCGGTGATGAAAGAAGAAGGCGAGGATAAACAGGTCTTATTGTCAGAGAGAGGGTGTGTGTCTGTGTCTGTAAGTACATATACATGTATGACCTTTTTCACCCGTGGTCCATCAATAGAAATGTTATCCCTCCTTCTGTTCGGAGGTCCAGCCTGAGGGTCAACCACTTAACCTGGCGTTAACCTCTGAAATTACTGGAGTAAAATATAGACATGTGGAAAACAGTGTGTGTGTGTGTGTGTGTTTGTGTGAGAGAGAGAAAAACACAAGCAGACAAAACCCAATGTTGGCAGCATTAAAAGGAAAAGATTTAATTGACCTAGATAGTCCCAGCTGTGGTGCACCTGGAGTATCAGTATCAGCCAATATTGTAAACCCTTAACCCTCACCTACTTTATACTCCTGGCCTATCAGCAGACAATCTTATCATCAAGAAGAAGACAAGAAGGGCAGCGTTGGCCACCACTTGCCCTCCTATAAAATTTGGACTAAATTGATTTGATAGTTGGAAAGCACATTCCAGAGTTTCAGTTTTGAGCCGATAACAGGACCTAGCACCATATCTCACGTGCGTTCACTTAAGCTGGTAATATTGTGTGTCAAAAAAAAGAGTCAAAGCCAAGAGTCATAGAGGGTTTTAAAAAATCCAGTGAGATTGTTGTTCTCGTCAGGCTGCTTTGAATGGGCTGATTTCAACTCTGTATTTAGGAGGTGAGTGATGAAACCGATAATGATAAGATGAGCATGAGAGACTTCTTTCAAACGGCTGATTATGACAGGATTCAAAGGAAGAAGGCAGACTGACATGGGATCTCTTAAGGGAGAAACAGCATGGAGTCTGATACTGATGATAGGTGGAGAGCATGATCGCCTTCGAAAGTAGTTTTCAGGAAAGGCTTTTAGGGGGACAATTTCCCTGAAAGCACTGGCTGCTAGTTCCAAGTTGCAATTAGATAAGAAATAGATAGTGCATCTTTGATATTAGAGGAGAACATTTGAATACAGGGGAAGTCTTCGATATGTCAATGGATGAGTAACCAGTCTCAAAGTCTGTACCTGATTGCCTGCAATGCTGCCCTCTCATTAATCCATAGACATGAAGTCTGCCTCTCAGTCACCTCTCTTCATGCTCTTCATGCTGTATGACAGTTGCGTGCAGGTTTGTGTGTTTTGAATTGAGAGTAGATTCACTGATCAAAGCGCTAAATGATGACTTAATGAGAGGTGTCTGAGGTCAATAGAAGGGAGAGGTAATTACACTTCTTGTTATCAACATCAATGCCGCAATGAAGCAAAGGGAGGTTTGCTATATGCTTTGTGAATTAATTTAATCACCCCATTTGAGGTTCAAAGGGATTAGCTCTGCGCACTTAGATACTATAGAGGTGAGAGCTGAGCGAGGAGATAAGAGGCGGCATGATACAGTTGACATTTATGAGCCGTGCTTTAGGAAAACAGGATGAAAGCTGGACTTCTTGCCATAAGCAGATTTGTCTTGGTTTGTAAGAATGTGAAAGGAAAAAGTCAGAGAAAAAAAAAAGTAGAAAAACTATCAAAGGCAGTGTCTACAGCTTGCAATATAGCCTGCAGTAAAATGGAGATGGGGGGCTGTAGAAATTAATTGGAAAGGAGGGAGATAAAGTGAGGGAGTGCAGACAGGGAAGTAGAGCCCAACATCAAACAATTTATCACTACCAGTCACAACATGTCTGGCCCTTGCTTCTCCCTGTGCTACCAACAAGTGCTGTGGACCCACATCAAACGCTCTCGCTCTCAAACCGACCGTGTTTAGAGCCTTGGTTTGTTTTTCTAAGCGCTATAACTTGTTGTAATTATAATGTGTTTACCATAACCTGCTATGCTTCATCTCGCTAAACCTCCTAGACGGGAGTGGATGTCAGAAATGTGCTTCTCCCTGCCTTGGAACATCATCATCGTCTCAGCATGTTTCCAGAAATGGTCAGCAGGCTACAAAAGTTTGGCTTTAGGGCAGGAACATCCTCCTTGGAAGAGTTACAAAGCAACAGAACGTCTCCATAAAGTGTCAGAACACAAGAGCGATACAGAGGAAGCAAGATCAACGGGGTTGTAAAACACTGGGAGGATTGTCTCTGGACAAACACTGCAGATCCAAGACCCCCACCCCCTTTTTCCCCAATGCAGGCAAATGTCAGCATCGATGTTCAGCATCACTCTGCGCTGTGTGGTTCTGATTATTAGGCCATCAGCAATATCTAACCTGAACCGTTTTTTTACGAAGGCAAAAGTTGAGATCAGCAATTCAATGCACAACAATAAATCAAGTCTTGAATTTCATTCTCTAACTTCAAGGTGTCACAAAACTTCATTGCTCAGCTTCGCTCTGCACTTCAGATCCGGTTTGACTGCGATTCAAAGTCAACTGAATGGTTATCCAGCCAACCTTTTACTTTCATCATGATTAGCTCATGCGTCACAGACTGCAGCTGCAAGAATTAACAAAGAAAACAGCGGACTGTTCAAACACCCCAAGCAGACACACACAAACACTGCAGGCTTCAGAAGTAAAATAATCAGGTGAAGGCTGACACACACACACATTCACACCCTCGGGCCATATCTGTGGGCTGCCTTTGTCAAACCGAGATTTAGCTGGGTTCTGCTGAGTGGTCAAATCAGATACCGGCCAAGTCGACCGAAAAAAATGTTCAAAAAGTTTTGTTGCGGCATGTGTGCTTTCATCAGCCCTGTGAGAGTGAAACCCATACCTTCTTTTTTTGTGACGCACTGACCAGAATTTGGTCAGTGCGTGTACTTTGTGCCTGTAGCACAAAGTATAGAACTGAAGGAATATGTTCACAGAGGCTGAGTCAAATTCTTAGTCTTGTTTTAATTTCAATTTTAAAATTGTTTCATTTGTTACCAGCCAAGAAAAGTATAAAGAATCTGTTTCGGCATTTAATTCATTTATTGTAACTGCAACAATATCAAAACCTTCGTAATGATACCCAATCGTTCGTATACTTAATGCTATATAGCAAGAAAAACACAACATTCTCATTTTTCCACAATTCTGTCCTGAAGTTCTCCTATAATGATTTGTTTGTCTTGGCAAAGGCGTTTGTCTATGTGTATAATGCTCCTGCTGAGCTGTCCAGCTGAAACAAGAATGCAGCGGCTTGGATGCTGAGCATAGAACCTGCTCTCTAAACACTTTAAGAACCACATATTCACTCTCTGAGAGAATATCAGGTTCTATTCTCCTCCCTCTTTTGTGCAGCCATCCCAGGATCTGCTGGTGTATTGCTGCAGGCAGTTTCTTGGTAGGAGAGATCAGAGGCAAGCCAGAGTCATCAATCCCTATCACTGGGTCTGTGCGTATCAGCGGCTCAGGGAATGGCTGTTTCTTGTCATATGTGAGTTGTGATGAGGGAGTTTTATCAAATCGAATGTGAGTTGAATGATTTTGTACTCACAGTTCTGATAACAGGTGCAGTCGGTGGAAGGCTCTGGGCTGGATCTCACTGATGTTGTTCATGCTGAGATCCCTAGAGAGAGACAAAGGGGAAACATGAGTATCAAAGTATCAATCAATGTAACTTGTAGGTGCTCTGGGCATGTACAATTACAAATGTTTAAACCGTGGTTTTCACATGGCGATCAATCATCAAGACTGGGGAGTAGTATGCAGAGAGAGGTTAGAAGGTTAGGTAGAGAGGTTGGAGGAGGAGAGGGAGATGTAGAAGAGAAATTTTCCCCAATGATTCATTGTTGGGCAGCTGTAATTTCCTTCTCGTCCCAGTGACTCTTTCTCTTTTCCAGATGTCTCACTCTACCTTCTCTCAGATCTGACCCCTCAATCTCCCTCCATATCTATCTATCTCTCTCTCTTCTTCTTTTTTTCCTCCTCAGGTTTCTCAGGAGACCACTTCCTTCTCCTTTTGTTCATGGCTGTAACACAGACACACTCCATTTCTCTGCCTCTCTGACACACACGCTGACGTGAGAGGGTGTGCTGAGCGGTGAGTGTTGACGCAGCTGCGTTGCGGTCAAAGAGGGAGAGGCGCAGGATGCTCCAATACATGCATGCACACTCACACGCGCACAGCTTCAACACACACATGTAACCTACTTTTTTTTACACTTTGGGACGGTATGAGGACAACTTATGTGTCAGGCTCTGGTAGAAAACATACATAACCCTGTGGCCTCAGTCATGTAAGGTCATCTCTTTGATAAACACAATGAAAGCAAGGAGGTGCTACGTCACCCCATCTTTGCTTTCACAGCCCTTGGGGTCTCGCAAGAGTCTTCAAGAGTGAGGCTTGTATGTGCGCGTGTCTGTGTGTGTGTATGACACTAGCCATTGCTCATAAAGCCAGACCACCGGGCTAGCAAGTGTAAACTGTGCTCTCAGAAGCCCTTTGCAGTTGGGAGTTTTGACACACTGGCTGTTTGTTTGTCAAGTCAGCCAAGCTGACGGGGGTGCTGGCTGAATCTATCCGCAGGCCTGATCTATATTCAGCTTCAGGGACGATGTGGAAAGAAACACTGCACGGCAATATTCTGGTTCACCCTTTTGGATAGTTGAGTAGCCTGTCGATTAGCAGTTGTGACAAGACAAATTCAATATACCAACAGTTTGGTACCCCGTCAAGGATAACATTTAACATCAGACAGTCGGGATGTGGACTCCCACTGTCACTTTGGGTGAGGTGTGTTCTCACCATGTGATGAGCTTGCAACGTTAACTGTGTCCTTTTTTAGGTCAGATAATTACTGTACGCGGCCTCTGCTGACATTGAATATTTTCCTTATGAAAGCATATTTTTTGGCATGTTCATATCCCTTCATGGGAATTTCCTGCTACACATGCCCCTTCCTGGGAGGTCTGACTGCAGATAGAGGGGTTCAAGGTGTTTCTCAGGGTCCAGGACAAATTGGGAGGGTGGATGCTTTCAATCAGTGTTGAGGGGAAAACTGGCTGATCCTCTAATGTTATTGCTTTTGTCTGTAACAGAATAAAATAGGACATTAATATTCCACATCACATTACTGACCTCAACTTTGTTGTATGTTTTAAAGAGCATGTCCCCGTATTGTCTGCATGTTGTGTTCTGATAGGCCACCACAAAAATCTCTATAAACAGATTCTGCATTTACCTGTAGAATCTGTAGGCAATGGGACAAGATTTAGTCAACAGAAGAGTTCTTTCCGTTTGTAGTCTGAGAAGAATTGCCCGATCACGCTCGAACAGGCTTTGGTTAAATGCATGTAAACCGTCCGTGTGGAGAGCAAAACATCTTGGAACCCACTGGCTATCGTCTGACTTGATTTGGCTTTTAATTTGTTTTTTATTCGCTTGTAAACTGCCTACTTGTGAAAAGATCCGGTCGTACATGTCGTCTCTCAACTCCCACTCAGGTCTTGTATCTCAAGTTCCTAATCGGACTGTAAACAACGAGCAGCGCAGGGAAAAGGAAGTCTTGGCCCGGATATCCGCTGGCTACATCGGATCCCCAAAAATATAGCCCCTCAACCACAGAGGCTTATCCGTTGTCAGACCGATCTGGTCCAGTTCTGAGATTGTTGCCAAAAGGACGGGACACATTTACTGTATGCTGCGGAGAGTGGTAATGCATATTGACAGCTGGTGGTGGTAATGCACCATGAAAGGTAGGAATGGGCCAATAAAAGAGGAGAAGAAGGAGACCGCAAGCCAGAGTAAATGATGCACGTTTCGAAACAATCAGAAAAGGCTTTGCAAATGTTTTAGGAGGTTTGGGGCTTTAAGGATACGCACAATGCAGTTTGGTGTGAAACATTTGTTTGTTTTCAATGAAAACTCCACAGGGCACCTTTAAATATTATAGCCCGATTTTATGTCTCATTTTATTATATTATAATCTAATAAGATTATATTGAAATAATTGCAGTAATGAATGAAAGACACATTGCAAATGTTCTTTTAAGTGCACATCAGCAATCCTGAAACTGTAGTGCTGCATAACTAATCACTTTTCTTAGTACAATAATTCAGAAATTTAAGAAAATCAACAAAAAATGTGTAATTTATCATTCTCTTTCCTCACATTTTTGCTGACCTTAGGCCTCCCTCTCAGTAAAGTTACTGAGGTGATGTCATGTGAATTATATACTTCAAGTTTTTCCCATTTCTGGCTAAATCTACTCGGACTACATGCAGTAATGGGGTAATTGGGGATGAATGCAACGTGAAGTGTAATGATGAGTGTGGTGCACTACTGCTTGATTAAAGTCACGAGTAAATATATGCGATAACAAAGTTGCTATGGAGATGACGCAGCCAGCAGTAACTGCAAACCAATTGACATAATCAAGACTGGGTGACATCACGTATAATGACACAGGAAGCCCACGATTACCTCATGGGACCTCATGAACAACACACCTTAATTCCTTTTATTGTCCGTGTACTAATATTCTGAGAACAATCCTGGGGGGGATCATTAAACCACAGCAACACACTCGCATGCATACCCACGCACAGACGCACACACATCATCCAGCTCCTGGGGATGCGCCACAAGAATGGAGACAACTCTCCATTATCTGGTCCTGATTAAATAAGCCATAAACAAACGTGTGAAGTCCATAACAGTGGCCTCACTTAGAGAGAATAAACATGCCGCAATGGAGAGAGAAAATGTTTAAAAATAAAGACGCACAGTGGTGAGTCATGGGGAAAGGTTGAATGCAGCTCTGCTGTGCTCTCCAACGAGCTCATTGGGAAGCCGGAGAGAGAGAGAGAGACATTTCTGCTTTGCAGGCCAAGGCCTCTGCTGACAACTTGACGTATCGTTGGAAGGCGCTGCGCTATGGCTTGTTTTTAAAATCAAATAACAGCTGTGGCTTTTTTAAACCATGATAATTATGATTGATGACTACCACATGTGCATTGTGTCGGCTGGCGCTGTGACCTGCAGATATTTTCAGCGCAAATAAACGGCCGCAAAATAAATGAGTAAGAGAGCACTTAAAGATTCTGCAGGCTCCGCAGTATATGGGATTTTCACAATTAGAATTTCTGTGTCCCCATTTAATGAGCACCTCGAATATGTGTGTGTGTGTGTGTGTGTGTGTGTGTGTGTGTGTGTCAGTGTCAGTGTCAGTATCTGTGTCTGTGTGTGCAGCACAATATTTTTTTCCATTTATAGGTGACTGCGGTGTGTGTGGTAAGATGTCTGTCGCTCATTTTCACACCCCTATTGTTTTCCAGTGAGCCTGCAGATGTGGTGGGTACAGCCCCCGGGTGCGCTTTCACCACATCATACATGAGCGCTGCCAGGGCATGGGAACAGATTGCTGCGTGTGTGTGTGTGTGTGAGGGACAGAGAGGAAGTTACTGTGGTTTCTTTTCTTTACTTTTCATGCGAGTATTCAGCAGGGAACCGTCCTGCCCTATCTTTGCCATCGCGGCGTCAAGACAGCAGCCTGATATTGTTCCCAGGACAACACGTCTCTCATCCGACAGAGGCACACAGGCCATCTCCTCCCCTCAGATCTCTGTCTGCTGCTGAATGACGAACTAAAGACTCTTGAGCAGTATTGGGAGCAGAGGATGCAGACATGGAGACCCATGCTCATCCCTCAACAAACACAATCCCAAATGTGCCTCTTAACTGTTCTTTTTATCCCGCTCTGCTCTGAACCCGCAGAATGACTGACAAAGCCCCCAGTGATCTCTTTCTGTTTCCCAGGAGAGGAATTACATTTTCATGTGCCTGCATGTAATTTAGTGTGTATAAGCACAGTAGCGTGTGTGTGAAATGTTGCAGCAATTGGAAGAGTCAGAAAAAAATGGAAATTTTTCCGTTCCTATTCCTCCCATCGCTCCGTGATTTGCAGATACACAATGTGCTTTGATAGATCGTTTATTCTTTCCTCTCCAAAGTGTGTGAGTGTGTACGCTTGTGTGCGTGTGAATATCAGAGAGGAAGGTTTGGCGGGGGAAGAAAGGTAAAGCACTGGATATTTTACTACTTTATGCTGTGATTGATAGAGTAACCAAGGCAAGGAGCTTGTCTTAAGGGGGGAACGGAAGCATGAAGAAACAGAGGTACATTTCCATTCATCAGCCTTGGCCCTTTCTCTCCCTCTCTCTTATGCCACTCTATCGCTCACACTCACTCTTTTCTCCCCATCTCTGTTTCAAATTCCAACCGGAGCATGGGGTAATGATAGTATAATGTGATTTATCATATTTCCTCTTCGCCGTCAACAGAACTACTGAAGTATGCTATCGGCTCTGTGATCAAAGGCAGTGTGTGTGTGTGGGTGTGAATGTGCCCCTAGCTCCATTGTAGCCAATTTCAAACTGGAAGCTGACAAGAGTTGGTTGATTTAGCTCAAAACAACTGGCCACATCATATGAAAACAAACACTCGTATATGTTCATAGACAAACACACACACACACACACACGCTACATCCACAGGCACTCGTACACACTCCAGGCTCCGGGTGGCTTTTGTGGCATCCACGGACCACCCTGAGGAGTGAATATAC